TGTTACCGTGTTGGTTGGGCATTAGCGTTGATTGCCGTGTGTTACCGTGTTGGTTGGTTATCAGCGTTGGTTGCCGCGTTGGTTCGATAACATTGTGATCGACGACTTGGATCCGTAATGAGTCGGGAAATTGAAAATCTGTACCGTGGTATGGAAAAATTCGTGAATCTGATAATTTGATGTCCCGGTACCTGCTGTGGAGGAGAGAATCTGATAATTTGATGTCCCGGTACCTGCTGTGGGGGAGAGAATCTGATAATTTGATGTCCCGGTACCTGCTGTGGGGGAGAGAATCTGATAATTTGTTGTCCCGGTTACTGCTGTGGAGGAGTGAATCTGATAATTTGATGTCCCGGTACCTGACGTATCTTTAATATGTACACTTTATATAATTAAAATGCGGGTCACAGACCATCAGAAACCAGAGTGAGGTCACGTAATTGTGCACCAAGGGGACATACGGTATCTTTGCTTCCTGTATGACGCTCCACTTAGCAACTGGTTGTCTGGAGTCAATTCGAGCACCAAATGGCACTGTTTAATTATCGAAACTGAAGCTGACAACAGCACCATGGTAAATTAAAAAAAACTCTTTTATTCCCAATTAAGAAATAATTCCTATTTCTCTTAAAATTCCTCTTTTATTCCCAATTAAGAAATAATTCCTATTTCTCTTAAAAATCCTACAGTTAATTGAGAACATACACTGGTATAAGGTGAGGTGAGGTGAAATGGGGTTTCACGTCGCGTCCAAGATTATTGCACTTATATAGCGACGTGCATGCACGTGTATGTGTGTGTGTGTGTGGCTGCTTGCACTAGTCCGGACTGATGCCGATTTATAGTGCTAGCACATTGAGATACCATGCCGCAGTTTAACATGAATACCCCACTCAGACACAGTATACCGACTCCGAGCCGACTAGTCCTTGTTTTAGCTCCTTAATGCCGAGCGCCAGACAGGGTAACAACAAGTATCATCTTTAAACGTCTTTTGGTATGACACGGTTGGGTATCGAACCCCGGACCTTCCGCTCTCCGGGCGGACGCTCTACCGTATTAGACCACGGAGGGCGGTCCTACACTGGTATAAAGATCCTTTGAATTTTAAATGTGATGGAAAGTATCCCCTGTTAGCAAAAAGCCTAATCAGTCGTGGTTCCTGCAAACTCAGCATCAGCAACATCATCAACATAACAACATCTGCAGTATCAGCAACAGTAGCAGTAACATAAATCAACATTAGCAGAAGCAGCAACAGTAGCAGCGACATAAACATCAGCATCATTTACAGTAGCAGCAACATCAGCAAGATGAACATCAGCAAAATTAGCAGTAGCAGCAACATCAGCATCATAAACAATAGCATCATCATCAGCAGCATTAATTCATAACAAAGTGATTTAACCAATCGGCTCTTGTAAAGTGCTCAATGCTGTTGACGGAATACAGTTAACGTTAATTTGCCACCATGAATGTGAACGTCCAATGTTATACTGACAGAGTCCATGGGAATACCTGTATGCGGCGTCCTTCACAATATGGTGGAAAACTAATCACAGATTGTCCACTTTGATCTGACCCTGAGGGATGATGTGGCCAGGGCAATTACTCGCTTTGTTATTCAGTCTACGATGAAACATCACAATTGCGGTTTGTGTTACCAACTGGAATTAAACAAGGCGGAAAGAGCACATTGAAATTGCACTTGGCCCGTTGGCAGTTGGACCAAATTATTTAAGCTACTGATTGGACGGCCATTGTCAGGCCGGGGCTAAATTCCACGGGAATCCATTCCAATCCATCCATCATTTATCCAATGTGAGAACATTTTCTCTTTTAGTTATTACACCTTATATATAATCAGGGATAGATCATGAAAATTTGAATTATTCATATTTGACATCATATTGATGATATTATATTACAGTAAACTACGGTTATAACGAACTCAAAGGGACTACTAATTTTAGTTCGTTATAACCGTAGTTCGTTATAAGTACAAATACAGCATGACTACAGCATGTAGTCGGGACCAAAAAGTAAGTTCGTTATATCCGTCAGTTCGTTATAAGCGTGTTCGTTATAACCGTAGTTTACTGTAGTAATACATTATTTAAATGGACCCGTGAAGATCCGGGGTAGAATAGGTCTTCAGCAACCAAGCTTGAGGTTAAAGGCAACTATGCTTGTCGTAAGAGGCGACTAACGGGATCGGGTGGTCAGGCTCGCCGACTTTGTTTCTTTCCGCCGTCATATAGCTGTAATATTGCCGAGTGTGGCGTTAAACAAAAACAAACAAACAAACAAGCATTATTAAAATGATGTTAATGTTATGAGAGATAACGGTAAAGGCACTTAAGTTAATGCCTTGATGTCGGTGTTTGTTCTCTGCTTTCAAAACGTTTTGAGGTGGAGAGCGTTTCCAAATTTGACGCATCAGTGACAAAAATGATGTCCGATGCAATTCCCTATTTTGATCTGTACCATATGTTTTCGTGTTTTTTCAGTGAACTTTTGACTTGCCTATGCATGTGTTTGTGATGGATGCCTCTAGTGGGGCAGGATTCGCTCACCCTTTTGCGAACACCGGATATCATCTCTATTTGACAGTGATTCAAAAGCACATGCTTATGATATAGTTGGTATCGTACTATGGGCTTTGCTTTTGGCAGAGATTTGTTATGAATATGGAAAGGGTTTTATCGCTTTAATCTAAATCAATCAGATTTGTTCCTCTAGGCCATAGAACATCTGTTTTTAATTTTCTACTCATTATATGACATCTTTGAATTTCGAATACAGTAAACTATGGATATAACGAACTCAAAGGGACCACTAATTTTAGTTCGTAATAACCGTAGTTCGTTATAAGCCAATCTCATTGAAATCAGATCTAAGTTCTCGCTGCCGCTAAACAAAGATCTGAGGACATCCCATTACGGGTCACGTCAGAACGACCTTTCGCGAACTTTGACCGACCACGGAAACGAATAACAAGAAGTTGATATCAGCCAATGAGAAAGCAGCTTTCTCGAGCTTTACGGCACTCGTTTCAACCTGGCGACTTCCATTTCAGACTACGCTTGAAAAATATGTTGACACAGTTCTCGATTAAAATTTCGAAAACTGAAAAAAAGAACAATCCGGAATGTCTAATATATGGTTACGATTGTATGGCAGTGCTTCCCACGTACTGTGCAACGCCTCCTCCGTTCAAATGTTTATCCCACGGAAGCGAGAGACAGACGATAATTTTGACGGAATCACTCGTACGGGCCGTAGCTGTAGTTCGGAATACCCCGTTTTAACGTTTTCGAGGTTGCATGTTTAGAAAACACATTCCGACTGTCACTTTCATGATCTGGTAAGCGACGCTTTGATTGGTCGGATGAAAGGTCGTTCTGACGTGACCCGTAATTGGATGTCCTCAGATCTTTGTTTAGTGATAGCGAGAACTAAGATCTGATATTAATGAGATTGGTTATAAGCATATATACAAATGGCCTCAGGCTTGACTAAGAATTAAGTTCGTTATATCGGTCAGTTCGTTATAAGAGTGTTCGTTATAAACGTAGCTTGCTGTATCTTAATGTAAGGGACTTGAGGTGTAGTCAAAAGAGAGGGGAAATATTTCTATTTTTGAAAAATCGGAAAGTGGACATAATTTTATTGCAGGAGACACACAGTATTGCAGCAGATGAAACGTTGTGGACATCACAATGGGTCATGATATAATCTTTTCACATAGCAGTTGGGTTAGAAAAAGGTCTTCACCATCCCATGCTTGTCCTTAGGGACGAGTATCCTTGTCGTAAGAGGCAATTGGTCGGTCAGGCTTAAAGCACTGATAATTCGTGAACAATTTAACTTAATTGCAAACGAGGGTGAATATCACTTCCTCTCGGTTAATGAAAATTATCACTATGTACTTGACATAAAAAATAGGCAGTTTTATGTAAAACCCACTTTTCATATATTGACATCCGTTTTGTCATCTGTTGACAACAGATGTATGCGAAATAGGTCAATTTTATATACCATGTTTTGTTGCCTTGAATCTAATTTGTAACTTAAACAGTTCTTCGAAAATACGTTGATGCTATGGACCTGTGGGCCTTGCAGTATTGAAATATGTCATTCTTACTTTAGTTATCAAACAGATTCCATTTGGTGAGTGAGTGAGTTGGGTTTAACACCACTTTTAACAGTATTCCAGTTACATCACGGCGTGTCAGCTTAAAGTGGGAGGAAAGCCCGAAGTGATGCAGGTCCCAGACGCTCACGGGCACGGTGCTGACAAACCTAGAAACATAATCGGGGCGAACCGGGATTTGAACCAACAATCATAGGTTTCTGGCGTGCCCAAGGGACGCAACTCTGCACAGCGAATCGCGGCGCCTAAGACGACTGGGCCACCCGTGCCCCCCATTCCATTTGGGATAAAAGACAAATTATACAAAAATTGTACAAAATTGTAGGAATTGATCATTGAATATAAGTGATGACACCAGGTGTTCGCGAAAAAAAACGAGGCTGCCTGAAACATTTTATTTCCTTGCGATGCCCAAAATTGGAATCTTTAAACAACCATGTGGTTTAATATCGGTGATATATCGGTTGTTTGTGTCGAATGTCAGATTAGACTCCTGTTGGACAGAATTGTTCTTAATGTAGCTGATGCAGCTACCACCCGGACTGCCACAATGCGTTACCCAATCTAGATATATAACTGTATGAATGCCATCAGCTTGCTCGAACGTAGACACGTATGATGCAAACATCATGGGAACAGCCAAACAAATCCACACTCACATACAAGCACAATTCAGGCAATGTTATTTCAAATATCGATTAGAGTCTTTCATTTGAAAACTACCTGCACTAATCTTTCAAGGAATCCCAACAGAGCTTCAGTATAATTAAACTCACATCGTCACAATGAGCCTCGAGTGCGCGGACGTCGGTGAGGGCGAGTTTACAGGACTGCAGCAGGGAAGGTGTTACTCTGGAGTGTGCGTCAGTTGTTCCGCTGGAGCACACTGCTGGAGAAGACGACATGTATTGACCAGAGAAGGCATGGATGGGGTCGGTTGTGAATCTACAGGCACGGGGGTCTGGTCAATACCTCACTGAAATGGACACTAGTTTCAAGGTACGTGCTTCATCGTTTGGCCATGTATAACATAATAAGATCAAGAATATAATTAATTATGAACTTATTTTAGGCAGTTTACAATTTAATCATATGTTAGATATGTAGTCTGTTTGTTGTTCAACGCCGCACTCAGCAATATTCCAGCCATATGACGGCGGTCTGTAAATAATTGAGTCTGGACCAGACAAGACAGTGATTGACATCATGAGCATCTGTCTACGCCATTGGCACACGATGACATGTATCAACCAAGTCAGCGAGCCTGACCACCCGATCCTGTTAGTCGCCTCTTTTTGGAAAGTATGGGTTGCTGAAGGCCTATTCTACCCCGGATCTTCACGGGTCTGTAGTCTGTTACAAATCGGTTATAAATAATCTAAATGTTAATACATTTGATGCTGGCAGTGACAGCTGCAACGCGTGGTTTGGCGTGGTGTTTCTGTAAACAGGAGTACGATATCTCTACCATATACACACGCACGTAGCTGGTCTACATTTAAGTATGAGCTGAGTAGATGAGCTGTTGGTCTGAAGGGCAGGTTGCTATCTGTAAGTACTGGTTTCCTTTCTGGACAAATATTTCTCCTACAGCAATTAAGAAGAACCCTGTTTCCTTTCGTCTAACTTGAAATACGTATCTAAGTGTGTTCAGGGCGATGTTACCGAGAATAGATTGGAATAGGACTTCGTATGCATACCATGATAGTCATGAAAGGTACACTCTTCAAAAAAAGAAACGCACAGGTAGCTTTTTAGGAGATTTATTGTACCTAATAAAGTCGATATATATAATTTAATATCATAGATACAAATATGAAATTTTGGAGCTAGATAGTCACATGTTGTCTTTGTACAAAGGCATTGAACTGTTCATTGTCATGTCACATAAGCCCACAAGCTTGCGCTGAACTCAGTATCTCGTGTGACCGCTCCGGGCAGCAATCACGGCTCTGCATCTCCTCGGCACTGACTGGGTAAGTGTACGAATTCTGTCCTGCGGAATTCTGCGCCATTCTGCTTGTAACGCGTTGGCCAGTTGTGGGAGTCTGTGCGGCGTGTTCTGACGTTGACGTACACTTCGATCGAGTTCATCCGAGAGGTGTTCGATTGGGTTGAGATCTGGTGATCTCGACGGCCAGGGCAAATCGTTGATGTTGGCATTTTGAAGGTAGTCTACCGTGTAACGAGCTGTGTGCGGTGGAGCGTTGTCCTGTTGAAACAGCTCCCCCCCGGCGGTCAATGATTGGTGAGGTTGAAGAATTTGATTCATGTAGCGATTTGCTGTCAAATTTCCCTGAACCACAACCAAGTCAAATCTCGTGGTGTAGGATACGGCCCCCTACACCAGGACACTACCGCCACCGAAATTGTCCAATTCACGTACACAATGTGGGGGAAAACGCTTATTTCGACGACGATAAACACGTTGTCTTCCATCTCGCCGGTGAAGAAGAAATAGTGATTCATCGCTAAACCACACTCGTCTACAGTTTCTCAAATTCCAAGGCTGTAAGGTATGGCACCAACGCAAGCGTCGCCGTCGATGGATCTGTTGCAAAATAGAGACGATAACTGGTTTTCTGGGACAGATTCCAGCCTCGCGAAGATGGTTCCTGACAGTCTGGTCCGATATCCTCTTCAAACCAGGGATGCGTCCTGCAGTCGCTGTGGCATTGCGATGAGTTGGAACAGTCGAATGTAGCGATCCTGTGCAGGGGTGTAACTCTTGGTCGGCCGGTTCTCGGACGGTCTGCAGTGGAATTGTACTGCGTGTATCGGTTCTGAAGGCGGCAAAGGGTGCAGTGATGGTGGACGTTGAAGTGGCGATTCCCCTCTTTGGATACGTCCTATGGCGATGTTCAAATAGGCAGCGCTGAGTCTCGGCATTTTCGAACTTGAAAAATGTTGACAATTGAATGACAAGTTATTGGCTAATGCTTGCCTTTTAATAGCCACTTCCACGAGTTACGAATGCCAAACTTGCCGTGCATTTTGCTTTACTGTTTTCTTCCATGTCATTTTTGAACAAATGTGAAAACAATGCCGTTTAAGACATTGCAAATCGACAATGGCTGCGTTTTGACGCACCGTTTGTCGAATATCAGGCTACCAACATTTTCCAATAACATATATCCAATTTATATGCCGGATGTTTTGTGTAGTTAGGTTCAATGAACTACATACTACCTGTGCGTTTCTCTTTTTGAAGAGTGTATGTTAAGAAAATCGGATTTTATTAACTGCTAGGACCCGTGAAGATCTGGGGTAGAATAGGTCTTCCGCAACCCATGCTTGCTGTAAAAGGCGACTGTGCTTGTCGTAAGAGCCGACTAACGGGATCGGGTGGTCAGGCTCGCTGACTTGGTTGATGCATGTCATCGTATCCCAATTGCGTGGATTGATGCTCATGATGTGAATCACTGAAATGTCTGGTCAAGAGTCGATTATTTACAGACCGCCGTCATATCGCTGGAATAGTGTTGAGTGCGGCGTTAAACAACAAATAAATAAATAAGTAAATATTAACTGATAGCATACTTTCAAATATGTGCCAGACTATAACTTCGCTATCGCGTGACCGTGTGGCGTTATAACGGGGTTAATAATATATGATCAAGAAGGAAGGGGAAAATACATTAAATAACTTGTGCTATTTTTAAATAAAATAAAACAAACGTTTTATGTAAAATGCTGGGCAAAAGAAAGTATACACTTGAAAATTGGATTTCACCAAACAATTACAAACGTTACTAGGTAAAAACAGTCGTTGAAACACTGCAAACTTAAGGTCCAAAACACAAATATGTGATACCCGTATTACATACATCACCATCGAATAACCATTTTGTGTTTGTGTCACATGTAGCCACAGACGTAGGCGTATACTTTCTTTTGCCCGGCGGTTTACAAGCTGAAGTCTACGTAATTCTGACAGTAATTTGCATGGTATAGTGGCATAGTGCATTTGGCGAAGTATACACACTGATTTCTTCATTGGAAATGGTGCTGTTATGCGGAGGCCACGCTGTACCGTTTGCCAGAAAAATCATACATAGTCGGTCACGCCTACAAGACGTGTTGGCTTTGTAAGGAGGAGCTGAATTATTTTTATTGACACAACACATTTGTTTCACGGCATCCTAGACATTTTCCCCCTTATTTTTTCTGGAACAATTATTTTGTTATTCCTCTCCCTCTCAATGGCTGTAGCTATCATTCAGAAATGGTCGTGGTGGTACGATTGCTGGGTCAAAGTTGTTCCAGTTCTAGTTTATTTGTTTGTTTGTTGTTTAACGCCGCACTCAGCAATATTCCAGCTATATGACGGAATGTCTGTAAATAATCGACTCGGGAACAGACATTCCAGTGATTCACATCATGAGCATCGATCTATGCCATTGGGATACGATATATGAATCAACCAAGTCAGCAAGCCTGACCACCCGATCCCGTTAGTCGCCTCTTACGACAAGCATAGTCGCCTCTTTTGGAAAGCATGGGTTGCTGAAGATCTATTCTTAGCACATTTTCAAGGGGTTGGTCCCAGGTCTAGACCTCTATTTGAGGATAAACTGTAATACAACCATCGCCTGATGGAGTCTTGTAGACATGTGTACATTGCGTTAGGTTCATCGGCCTTGGAACATGACAGTCGGCTTGAAATTGATTTCTTCTTACGTTCAGAATTTGTTCTAAAATCAATAGCGACGATAGAGCCATGTTTATTGTTTGGCACGTTGTGGTTACCCATCTGATTGGCTTGTCGACTGGCTAGCTTGTACGAACATCATGAAGTTCTGATGTTTGATGTGACGTCATATGCTTGTCACGTCACTATCGATCCTGTTCGCACTAAACGGTCTCAAGCTGTTACATATCGATAGTCCCATGCACCTTCATACACCTGTTTAATTTGGCGTCGATGCATGAAGGAATTCAACAAATCCGCTAATCCGGCAAATATATATAGAGGCGCGATCCCACAGACATCATCTGTAAATGTGTGCTTGTTAAAAAACTGATGGCGTATGTCCTTTTCTAACCTCCACTTCAATTTTAGGAATTGATCATTGACACCTCGTTTCATGAAACAATCTTACGAAGATACTTTTGTGTTAATTATTTTAGTCGTTTAATAAAGTATTTGTGCAGGCTGGTTTTGGTTTGGTTTGGTTTGTTGTTTTACGCCGCAATATTCCAGCTATATGACGGCGGTCTATAAATAATCGAGTCTAGACCAGACAATCCAGTAATTGACACCATGATTCACGCAACTGGGATACGATGTCATGCATCAACCAAGTCAATGAGCCTGACCACCCGATCCCTTTAGTCGCCTTTTACGACAAGCATAGTCGCCGTTTCCGGCAAGCATGGGTTGCCGAAGACCTATTCTACCCGGATCTTCACGAGTCTATTGGTGCAGGCTGTTGTATATGAATATTTATCAATACCCAAAATCATGTTGTGACCTATTGAATCACAGGATGAAAACGGCAGCCACAACTGGGTAGCGCATGTTCGTTTACTGTTATTAGAAACGGGGTTTACAGGTGTTTCGGTCGTACATGATTGCGGCAATATATCTAAGTTTATACAATGTTTTAAGCAAAGATGTAAAGTCACAGATATTCAGAATTGGCAAGCTAAAATTATTTCTTCATCATTTCTAAACCATTATTCTACACATAAGTCTGTACTCGAACCAGAGATATATATTATGGAGTTATGTCCAAATTAAGATGTTATCCGCATATTATGTAAATTCCGATGTCTGAGCCATAAGTTGGGTATTACAACGAAAATATCAATACTGATTTACTTAAATGTAATAAATGTAATCATAATATAATTGAAGATGAATACCATTTCCTTTTAGTTTGTCCATTTTATATGGAAAACAGAAAGCTCTATATCCCAAGCTACTATTTCATCTATCCATCACGAGCAAAATTCAATCAACTATTAACAACAAAAAATGACAAGATAATTGAAAA